GTCCCCTGAGACCTGAACACGGGCGCAGTGAACCCTCCCAGGCCAGGGCTGCTCCAGAGGAAGGCTCCTCAGGTCCCCAGAAATAGTTGGTGAGATAAATTCTTTTCTGATGGTAACACTTGTTCACACAAAACAAAAGCAGAGAAGCATAAAGGAGCCAAGAAGACTCCCAGGGAGAGGAGTCGGGGGCCCTGCCTGTCTTTCTGGGTGCTGCCTCTCAGGAGTTCATCTTCTGTGGAGCACACACTGCCCCCTGGGGCCTGTTGGTGGACCTCCACCGGCAGGGGCTGTGCCTGCGACCCCAAGGTGCCGTTCTTGCCTTCATTCTGCCCTGCAGAGGCCCTGACCGTGGAGCTGGGCCCTGTCTGTGGTTTGACAAAAATGAAGGACTTCATCTGGGCATCTTTCAGATTACCTGACGGGACATTACTCGTCTCTAAAGATGTGGGTGCAGGGCACTACATTCCAACACTCTTCCTGGGCTGCCCTCCAGACCCTAGGCGGTGCCTCCATGAAGGTGACGGTGACCCGATGCCTTGTGGTGGCTGCTTGTTGCCCCGGGAGGTGGCCACAAGGAGCTCGACTGGGGCCACCTTACTCTGCTCTCCTCATGGCAGCCGGTGTCCCACCACCTGCTGTCAGTGCAGTCACCTTGGGCCTAGCCCTCCCCAGGCCACCCAAGGAATGGTCCCCATTGTCTCCGGGTTGAAACAGCCCTGAGGGCCCCTCCCCACTGCTGACATGTTTGCTCCAGCTGGTCTCTGTCCCCTAGTCCCTGTGTGATGTCCATGGCCTCTAGGTTTTGGAACACCATGGCTAACTTTCGGGGCTCCATGTCACTGACTGCATAGCAGTGCAGGGAGCAGCAAGGCAGGATGCCCCTTGCCTGGAAGAGCACCCTGTAGCTGAAGAAAGCAGAGGCCAGCACGTCGCCCCTGCCCTCTAGCTCTGTGTCCCTCAGGACTCTCAGCTTGCCCAGCCTCCTACCCTCAGCTTCTCTCCCAGCA